CAACTATATCATAACTAAAAATAAAAGTCCATGCCAAGTCCTGCAAAATGGACATAAATATGCTTTTATCAAAGGACAACCTATTAACCATATACAGAGCAGATAAAACATATCTTTCATAAGTTTGGCTTTAAGTTCTTAGGTACAATAATCAGCAACTGCTTTACCTTTCTCAGAATTTATGAAGGCCTTTCTTTTGGATTATTCAGAAGACCTTGTAAGTTTTATTTTTTCCTTTTAATCTGATAAATTTATTTGTACAAGCAGAGGCATTTGGTCATTAACTTTTTCCCCAGAACCTATTTACTACATTCCAGCCACTGTCAATATACAATGATCTTTGATCCTACCTCTGCAACTCAATAGCTATTTGAATCTTGGGCAAACTCAATAGCTATTTGAATTTTGAGCAAACTTGGCTCAGCATCCATTGCACAGTGGTTACAGTACCAGTCAAATACACCAAGGGTAGAGGGTTCGAACCTGGCCCAGGTCAACTAAACAACTGCAACAAAAAGCCAGGCGTTGTGGAGGGCACCTGTAATCCCAGCTACTTGGGAAGCTAAGGCAAGAGAATCGCTTAAGCCTAAGAGTTGGAGGTTACTATGAGCTGTGACGCCATAGCACTCTACCAAGGGTGAGATAGTGAGACTCTGTCTCCAAAAAAAAAAAAAATGAATCTTGGGCACACCCTTATGAGCTCCCAAAAATTCTCTCTTCTCTGTGCTAAATAATCTCAGACTCACAAACCCTGTTTCTCCCTCTTTTAACCTATTCTGTACCCACTCTATGCAATAATGAAACACAGCTTGCCACTCCAACAAATTAAAATTCAAGTACTTAGTATGTGAAATTTAAAAATAAGTGAAAGTATAAACCATAAATAAGCAAGGTTTATATTTCTACCTCATTCTTAATTTCTCGTCCTTTTGAGATTTTTATTTCAAACAGACTTGAGATTGTTTTATGGAATTCTTTTCCTTGATAAAATCTGAGATAATCAGTCTTTAAAACTATCATAATGGGTTTTGAAACTTTGGAATCAACTAGCCCAACTTGTTTCTTTCTTTTTTTTTGAGACAGTGTCACTTTTTCACCCTTGGAAGAGTGCCCTGGTGTCACAGGTCACAGCAACCTCCCCTGCCCCGCCCCCCCTCCAGCCATGTTGTCCTGCTTTACAAATATTAAAATCTGGTCACCCTAGCACAATCCTATAGCTAATTGGAAACAAAATCAAGACAAGAAACCAGTTCCAGTAGCACTCAATTCAGGGCTCTTTACAGTGTACCACATGACCTCTAAGATAGAAAAATACATTTTTTAAATTTAATATTCACTTTTTACTTTACCACTACTTTTTGTCTCCTCAAATCTACTCACACAATGACCTTAAACAGTGCTAACAGATTACATTTTATAATACTATTACCAGATTACGCCACAGAGACAAAGCTTAAGAACTGACAGCTCATGATAATCCCCCACCCTCAAAATAACAAGGGCATCTGTTTTGCCATATTCATCTTTGGAACCCTACCAATGGCTGACACATAGTAGGTATTCAATAGATGTTTATTTTATAAACCACAGCTTTTTTTTTTCCTGCTAGTACTAGCGACCAGACTTAAATATCAGACCAAACAAAAGCAGTGAAATCTCATTATTTGACATTTGGTGTCTCTAAGCATTTATAAACATAAACAGAGGATTTACTAAACAAATTCATGTTTACAACAAAATGTAAGGGGAGCATTTATGTTACTAAAATATTTCAAGCACTATACAGCTTAACTGGTACATTCATTACAATAATTCTTACTTATTGAAATAGGCCTGACTAACCTTTAGTCAGCATTACTTTGTTGGCCTAGTTGGAATCATCGAATGCACTAGAAAGCAGTAAAATTACAGGTGTTGTACAAGAGGCACTGGACTAGAAGCTAGGCTCTAGTCCAAGCTCTGCTAACAATCAGATACATATACTGGGCAATGCATTTTTTCTTCTTATAGTCTTAACCTATTTGTAAAAACATGAAAGCTTAACTCCTAATCACTGAGGATCTTTCTAGCCTTAACTTTTTTTTTTTTTTAAGAGACAGAGTCTTACTTTGTCACCCTCGGTAGAGAACTATGGCATCACAGCTCACAGCAACCTCCAGCTCCTGGGCTTAGGCGATTCTCTTGTCTCAGCCTCCTGAGTAGCTGGGACTAAAAGGCACCTGCCTCAACACCCAGCTATTTTTTTTTTAAGACAGAGTCTTTATTGCCCTCAGTAGAGTGCCATACTGTCACAGCTCACAGCAACTTCCAACTCCTGGGCTTAGGTGATTCTCTTCCCTCAGCCTCC